TATAACTAGGGTGTAGACACCACATTTTCCCTCTTTGAGGTAGCTTCCATCACCCTGGTAACTGATGCACAAAGCATGCTTCCTCATCTTGACCTGTCAAAAGGGCGCTAACTGTAAAGCCAGATTCCTAATATATGACAAGCTATATCAGAGAAAACACTGTACATGGAACAATGAAGACCTGGCTTAATTACCTTTAGTTTGAGGCTACCACGTGCTCTAACCGGACCACCCTATATAATGACATTAATGGCCACAAATGAAAGATACATGGGTTTCGGAAGAACACTTAACTTGATTTGTTGACAGCGTGTTGATAATGGTACACCTTTGGTTTCCATAACACTTCGTCCAAGTAAAATTAACAGGAGCCGTATTTGCTCCCGTGAGCCTCTGTGGTCTTAGCATCAACAATGGCTGCCCCTCCTTCCTCACTGACGCTACTGGCCGACATTGTCCAGATATGATAGGAGCCGAATTTGCTCCACGCGTCTCGGAGGTGACAACAACAATAATGGCTATGGCTGACACTCCATACTACTGACGCTACTGGCCGACATTGTCCAGATATGATAGGAGCCGAATTTGCTCCACGCGTCCCGGAGGTGACAACAACAAAGCTCTGACCACTCACTCACACTGACGCCTGGCTTTCATTGTCCAGATGACAGAAAGTGATAGAAGGGTCACATTTACTCTACTTTAATACTGATAATTTAGTTAATTTATATGAGATGTTTTTATGATGGTAAAGTCCAAAGACTAATGTATTTAAGAATAATTCCCACCATAATAGGTGGTGAATTATAATAGTATGTGGTTGATATTCCGTTTTCTATAGACGGTAATTCCACTACAGTTACGTTTTCTATGGGTTAACTTGTTTATACAATACAGCTATTATCTGTCTGTATGATATATTAAATGCTGTCGGATTTTGCGACATCATACACAGTCTGCTGCCCTGCACACTTGGGTATACAGCCTGCTGCCCTGCACACTTGGGTATACAGTCTGCTGCCCTGCACACTTGGGTATACAGCCTGCTGCCCTGCACACTTGGGTATACAGCCTGCTGCCCTGCACACTTGGGTACACAGCCTGTTGCCCTGCACACTTGGGTACACAGTCTGCTGCCCTGCACACTTGGGTATACAGCCTGCTGCCCTATCACACTTGGGTACACAGCCTGCTGCCCTGCACACTTGGGTACACAGCCTGCTCCCCTGCTCACTTGGGTATACAGCCTGCTGCCCTGCTCACATGGGTACACAGCCTGCTGCCCTGCACACTTGGGTATACAGCCTGCTCACTTGAGTACACAGCCTGCTGCCCTGCACACTTGGGTACACAGCCTGCTGCCCTGCTCACATGGGTACACACCCTGCTGCCCTGCTCACTTGGGTACACAGCCTGCTGCCCTGCTCACATGGGTACACAGCCTGCTGCCCTGCTCACATGGGTACACAGCCTGCTGCCCTGCACACTTGGGTACACAGCCTGCTGCCCTGCTCACATGGGTACACAGCCTGCTGCCCTGCTCACTTGGGTACACAGCCTGCTGCCCTGCGCACATGGGTACACAGCCTGCTGCCCTAGCACACTTGGGTATACAGCCTGCTCCCCTGCTCACTTGAGTACACAGCCTGCTGCCCTGCACACTTGGGTACACAGCCTGCTCCCCTGCACACTTGGGTACACAGCCTGCTCCCCTGCACACTTGGGTATACAGCCTGCTGCCCTGCACACTTGAGTACACAGCCTGCTGCCCTGCACACTTGGGTACACAGCCTGCTGCCCTGCACACTTGGGTACACAGCCTGCTGCCCTGCTCACATGGGTACACAGCCTGCTGCCCTGCACACTTGGGTACACAGCCTGCTGCCCTGCACACTTGGGTACACAGCCTGCTCCCCTGCTCACTTGAGTACACAGCCTGCTGCCCTGCACACTTGGGTACACAGCCTGCTCCCCTGCTCACTTGAGTACACAGCCTGCTGCCCTGCGCACTTGGGTACACAGCCTGCTGCCCTGCACACTTGGGTACACAGCCTGCTGCCCTGCACACTTGGATACACAGCCTGCTGCCCTGCACCCTTGGGTACACAGCCTGCTGCCCTGCACACTTGGGTATACAGCCTGCTGCCCTGCACACTTGAGTACACAGCCTGCTGCCCTGCACACTTGGGTACACAGCCTGCTGTCCTGCACACTTGGGTACACAGCCTGCTGCCCTGCTCACATGGGTACACAGCCTGCTGCCCTGCACACTTGGGTACACAGCCTGCTGCCCTGCACACTTGGGTACACAGCCTGCTGCCCTGCACACTTGGGTACACAGCCTGCTGCCCTGCACACTTGAGTACACAGCCTGCTGCCCTGCACACTTGGGTACACAGCCTGCTGCCCTGCACACTTGAGTACACAGCCTGCTGCCCTGCACACTTGGGTACACAGCCTGCTGCCCTGCACACTTGAGTACACAGCCTGCTGCCCTGCACACTTGGGTACACAGCCTGCTGCCCTGCACACTTGGGTACTCAGCCTGCTGCCCTGCACACTTGAGTACACAGCCTGCTGCCCTGCACACTTGGGTACACAGCCTGCTGCCCTGCACACTTGGGTACACAGCCTGCTGCCCTGCACACTTGGGTACACAGCCTGCTGCCCTGCACACTTGAGTACACAGCCTGCTGCCCTGCACACTTAGGTATACAGCCTGCTCACTTGAGTACACAGCCTGCTGCCCTGCACACTTAGGTATACAGCCTGCTCACTTGAGTACACAACCTGCTGCCCTGCACACTTGGGTACACAGCCTGCTCCCCTGCTCACTTGAGTACACAGCCTGCTGCCCTGCACACTTGGGTACCCAGCCTGCTGCCCTGCACACTTGGGTACACAGCCTGCTGCCCTGCACACTTGGGTACACAGCCTGCTGCCCTGCACACTTGGGTACACAGCCTGCTGCCCTGCACACTTGAGTACACAGCCTGCTGCCCTGCACACTTGGGTACACAGCCTGCTGCCCTGCACACTTGGGTACACAGCCTGCTGCCCTGCACACTTGGGTACACAGCCTGCTGCCCTGCACACTTGGGTACACAGCCTGCTGCCCTGCACACTTGGGTACACAGCCTGCTGCCCTGCACACTTGGGTACACAGCCTGCTGCCCTGCACACTTGAGTACACAGCCTACTGCCCTGCACACTTGGGTACACAGCCTGCTGCCCTGCACACTTGAGTACACAGCCTGCTGCCCTGCACACTTGGGTACACAGCCTGCTGCCCTGCACACTTGAGTACACAGCCTGCTGCCCTGCACACTTGGGTACACAGCCTGCTGCCCTGCACACTTGGGTACACAGCCTGCTGCCCTGCACACTTGAGTACACAGCCTGCTGCCCTGCACACTTGGGTACACAGCCTGCTGCCCTGCACACTTGGGTACACAGCCTGCTGCCCTGCACACTTGGGTACACAGCCTGCTGCCCTGCACACTTGGGTACACAGCCTGCTGCCCTGCACACTTGGGTACACAGCCTGCTGCCCTGCACACTTGAGTACACAGCCTGCTGCCCTGCACACTTGAGTACACAGCCTGCTGCCCTGCACACTTGGGTACACAGCCTGCTGCCCTGCACACTTGGGTACACAGCCTGCTGCCCTGCACACTTGGGTACACAGCCTGCTGCCCTGCACACTTGGGTACACAGCCTGCTGCCCTGCACACTTGAGTACACAGCCTGCTGCCCTGCACACTTGAGTACACAGCCTGCTGCCCTGCATACTTGGGTACACAGCCTGCTGCCCTGCACACTTGAGTACACAGCCTGCTGCCCTGCACACTTGAGTACACAGCCTGCTGCCCTGCACACTTGGGTACACAGCCTGCTGCCCTGCACACTTGAGTACACAGCCTGCTGCCATGCACACTTGAGTACACAGCCTACTGCCCTGCACACTTGAGTACACAGCCTGCTGCCCTGCACACTTGAGTACACAGCCTGCTGCCCTGCACACTTCAGGTAGAGTACTGGTAATTAGTATACCACATGTGAACGTCGAACTTGCAGCCTTCCTCCACCAAGATGAGCGTATGGTGTCGGTAGAGAGGCATATGTGGATCAGTATTTTGTGCAGTACTTGTACGTCCATCCATTGTTCTCAACGAGGCAAGGTAAGGACAGCATAGTTAAGTTACTTCGTGAATAATTTATGGCATATATACTCCTTATGGCTGTATAGTACAGCCCACAGTTGGCAACCGTTAATGGAACCGCTCGATAATTACCTGCTTTTACACTTATACTATTTCTAATAATCTTCGTAGTTATTGTTAAACAATACTTCCACTGAGGAAGAATTTAATATTATGTATAGAATTGTACATTTTTTTGTGTGTATTTCCTGTCGCACTCCGTCACCACTCATTTTAACACTAGCTGGCAGCTGCCATCTAATTGAAACCTGGATTTTTCGCTATTTTATACCAGAATAATAATAATATAATGAGAATATAAACTAATAGTATAGTAAACGTTTCAAATTGATATAAAGCCCACGAGGTACAATTACAAATGCAATAATAATATCATACGGTGATAAATGTGCGGAGTCAACACCGCTGGCAGTGTGGTGGAGACGCCGCTAGACCCCAGCCAGGCTGGGCCCTCGACACCTCCACCTTATGTGGTGGAATGCTCACTAACCTCATACACTATGGTCTTACACTTCTCTAACCCTACCCATACACCAGGTACGAAAATGTATATGTGCACCTCACTGCCACTGAAACACCACGTCTGCGGTAGAAACTATATACTATCAATCATCAATTTGCATCTATGTATATATGGTACATGAAATTAATTTAAACTCCAGAGATCTACTAAGTTAGCATAATCCTAGAGACGGATAGTTGAGACTGAGTTGCGGAAGACGTTGTCTTTGGCTACATTAGGAGTGGTTTTTGAAGTCATAATAGGCAGAGGTACCAGCCCCAGGAGGGTGTAGCGAGCGGGGAGGTGTCTGCGTGTAGCAGTGTCGCGCTGACCGTCACCGGAGGAGAGTCTCGCTGCGGGCGTTGAAATCCCGTCAAGGTGTGTGTTATACCCCTCGGTGTTTGTGTGTACCTGCTGCACAGGTACACACCAGGGTGCTGTGTGTACCGTCAGGCGCTGGCTGGCCGGCCAGGGCAGTGGTGAGGCCCATACAGCGCCTCAGCAGAAGCACAGGTGAAAGTTATGACAGGCGGAGGGTTCCTGCGGACACTTGCTGGGGGTGCTGCCGCTCCCTCCTAGTGTCACCCTCAACCTCTGTACTAGTCTGTGTGTCTTCTCTTGTGTGGTGTCCCGCGGGTGTTGGTGTCCCACAGCTGTAGGTGTCCCGCAGGTGTTGGTGCCTGCAGGTCACAAGTGTGTCGAGGCGCCACGGGGGAATTCTTGATGTTGTGTGTGTGTGTGTGTGTGTGTGTGTGTGTGTGTGTGGGCGGAAGTGTGCCAACGCCTATTGTGTATATACACGCGCTTAGCATCCCAGCACTCGCTACCACACACATACACATGCATGCATACATACACACACACACACACACACACACACACACACACACACACACACACACACACACACACACACACACACACACACACACACATACATACATTCATTCATTCACACATGTACATACATACACACATGTACACATATACTTACATACTTACTTACATACACACACACACACACACACACACACACACCACCACCACCATCGCATCACCACCACACCCCACCACATCACTTTAGGAAGTGATGAGGTGAAGGCTGACTCCATACACAGCTTCAAGTGTTGATATGATAGAGCCCAGTAGGCTAAGGAACCTGTACATTAGTTGATTGACAGTTGAGAGGCGGGACCAAAGAGCCAGAGCTCAACCCCGCAAGCACAATTAGGTAAGTATAATTAGACAATTAGGTAAGTACACACACACACACACACACACACACACACACACACACACACACACACACACACACACACACACACACACACACACACGTGTGTGTGTAATTACCTAAGTGTAGTTACAGGATGAGAGCTACGCTCGTGGTGTCCCGTCTTCCCAGCACTATTTGTCATATAACGCAGTAGTTTCAAAGTGTTATATGACAAAGTGCTGGGAAGACGGGACACCACGAGCGTAGCTCTCATCCTGTAACTACACTTAGGTAATTACACACACACACACACACACACAGCTGGAGATGCAGGTAAGAGTGAAAGGGAAGATACTCCATTGGATAAGGGAGTACCTAAGCAACAGAAGACAGCGAGTCACTGTGAGGGGCGAGGCCTCAGATTGGCAAGACGTCACCAGTGGAGTCCCATAGGGTTCAGTCCTTGAACCTATACTGTTTCTGATATGTGTAAATGATCTCCCAGAGGGTATAAGAATCGTTCATCTCATTGTTTGCTGATGATGCAAAAATTATGAGGAGGATTAAAACAGAGAATGATAGTAGGCGGCTACAAGATGACCTAGACAGACTGAATGAATAGTCCAACAAATGGCTATTAAAGTTTAACCCGAGTAAATGCAAGGTCATGAAACTAGTGGGTGGAAACAGGCCAGACCCAGGATACCGAATGGAAAATGAAGTACTAAATGAAACGGGCAGAAAGATCTAGGAGTTAATATCACACCAAACCTGTCTCCTGAAGCCCACATAAAAAGAATTACATCTGCGACATACGCGAGGCTGGCTAACATCAGAACAGCCTTCAGGAACCTGTGTAAGGAATCATTCATTACCTTGTACACCACATATGTAAGAAAAATCCTGGAGTATGCGGCCCCAGCATGGAGCCCGTACCTTGTCAAGCACAAGACGAAGCTGGAAAAAGTTCAGAGGTATGCCACTAGTCTAGTCCCTGGAAACACAAACCGAAACTGCCTCTATTTTCCGCTTGCTACAACTTGTAATAAAGTTGTTACATCTTGACTTAACGTGTTTATGACGTATTAGAACGTTGTTACAACTTGCTATATTGGTTGTTATAACTGGTTAGGAGGTGTTAAAACTTGTTCGAACGTTGTACCAACGTCGTAGTTTCGGTGTGTGTGTTTGGATCAAACTCATGCCTCTTAGTTCTGGGACGTCCCAGAACTAAGAGGCATGAGTTACAAGGAAAAGCTGTGTGAAATGCACCTTACGACACTGGAAGACAGAAGAGTAAGAGGTGACATGATCACTACCTACAAAATTCTCAGAGGAATTGACAGGGTAGATAAGGATAAACTATTTAACACGGGTGGCACGCGAACAAGGGGACACAGGTGGAGACTGAGTACCCAAATGAGCCACAGGGACGTTCGTTAGAAAGAACTTCTTTTTCAGTGTCAAAGTAGTTAACTAGTGGAATGCATTAGGCAGTGATGTGGTGGAGGCTGACTCCAAACACAGTTTCAAGTGTAGATATGATAGAGCCCAGTAGGCTCAGGAATCTGTACACCAGTTGATTGATGGTTGAGAGGCGGGACCGAAGAGCAAAGCTCAACCCCCGCAAGCACAACTAGATGAATACAAGGTCTCGTAGTACAGTTGGCTTCATTTCGACTCTGAATCGAGGATCCCTGGTTCGATTCTCGGGCGGGACAGAAATGGTTGTGTATGTTTCCTTTCACCTAATGTGTCTGTTCATCTAGCAGTCAATAGGTACCCGGGAGTTATTCAACTGTTGTGACCCTCCCCAGGTTGCATCTTGGGAAGGGTCAGTAGTTCCCCTTTAGGGTAAGGGGTGGGGTTGTGAGGGGGAGGGGTTAAACCTGTACTTTCGACTAATAGGTCGTCTTTCTTACGTTATGGTAACGAGCAGTATAAAGGCAACCTACTGACAAGTAAGGGCTCACAAATGTCTACGTTTTCTATGCATCGAACTCGTTAGGTTAAGTGCGCATATGGTGCACATATACGGGTTAAGTGCGTATATGGTGCGTATATACAGGTTAAGTGCGTATATGATGCGTATATACGGGTTAAGTGCGCATATGGGGCACATATACGGGTTAAGTGCGTATATGGTGCGTATATACAGGTTAAGTGCGTATATGGTGCGTATATACGGGTTAAGTGCGTATATGGTGCACATATACGGGTTAAGTGCGTATATGGTGCGTATATACGGGTTAAGTGCGTATATGGTGCGTATATACGGGTTAAGTGCGTATATGATGCGTATATACGGGTTAAGTGCGTATATGGTGCGTATATACGGGTTAAGTGCGTATATGATGCGTATATACGGGTTAAGTGCGTATATGATGCGTATATACGGGTTAAGTGCGTATATGGTGCACATATACGGGTTAAGTGCGTATATGGTGCGTATATACGGGTTAAGTGCGTATATGGTGCGTATATACGGGTTAAGTGCGTATATGATGCGTATATACGGGTTAAGTGCGTATATGGTGCGTATATACGGGTTAAGTGCGTATATGATGCGTATATACGGGTTAAGTGCGTATATGGTGCGTATATACGGATTAAATACGTGTATATATATATATATATATATATATATATATATATATATATATATATATATATATATATATATATATTAGTATATTTTGGTAGCAGTCTTTCCTGTAGACATATATTATTAAATATGACCGAAAAAGTAAGATTAATAATTCTAACACGAATTTTCTCTATCTTACGTTTCTTTTCACTGTTGATGGTAATTCAAAGATCAATTCTCCTTTATCTTTGAATTACCATCAACAGTGAAAAGAAACGTAAGAAAGATAGAGAAAATTCGTGTTAGAATTATTAATCTTACTTTTTCGGTCATATTTAATATATATATATATATATATATATATATATATATATATATATATATATATATATATATATATATATATATATGGGTTAAGCGCGTATATGTGCGTATATACGGGTTAAGTGCCTAAGCATACCCTTGGGTTGGTGGGTTAGGTTAGGGTAGGAGGTTGGGTTTCGAAGGAGTGGCGAATCAAGACAATACGCTGCGATATAAGCCTAAAGTGTGCCTCCCCCCCCCCTCCCGACAAAACGAATTATTATACACACACACACACACTCCCATCTATTCAAGAACACACGCGCGCTCTCACATAATGCACAAACATACATATACATGCGCGCGCACTCACATGCGTACGCAAATGTGCATGTAGCAAACATTTCCCTGGGATATAGACAGCTGCCGCGGGCTGCATCCTGGGGATGTATGTGTGTGTGTGTGTGTGTGTGTGTGTGTGTGTGTGTGTGTGTGTGTGTGTGTGTGTGTGTGCGTGTGCGTGTGTGTGTTAGGGAGAAATATAGGGATAGTAGATATATGAGATGGAGTCAGTACATTAGACGACCGACGATTACAAAGGCGGGGGCCAAGAGCTAATAGTTTGATCCTGCAAGCGCCTGCAGGCGCAAATAGTAAATAAATACACATATTTACATATGCTCATGTACAGACACACATACGCAGGCACACGTACAGACGCGCCCATACAGACACACGCTCACAATACAGGCTCATACATATGCATACATACAAATACACAAATACAATGTGTGTATACACATTGTATACTACTTGTAAACTATACTATGTGGAAAATATGAGTGAGTTTGGGTGGGTATAAATAGGAGCTGCCTCGTATGGGGCAACAGGTCCTCTGCTGTTACCTTCAGTCTTGTGGTTAGTTCCCTCTTGCTCTTTTGTTCCCTCTTGCTCTTTTGTTCCCTCTTGTTATTTTGTTCTCTCTTGTTATTTCTCTCACGCTCTCACTTCCCTCCACCCTCCCTCTCCGTCCACCCTCCCTCCCTCTCTCTCCTACACCTCTTCCTACACCTCCCCCTCCCTCCCTCCCTCCCTCTCTCCGCTACACCTTCCCTCCCTCTCTCCGCTACACCTTCCCTCCCTCTCTCCGCTACACCTTCCCTCCCTCTCTCCGCTACACCTTCCCTCCCTCTCTCCGCTACACCTTCCCTCCCCTCTCTCCCCTACACCTTCCCTCCCTCTCTCCCCTACACCCTCCCTCCCTCTCTTCCCCCTACACCTTCCCTCCCTCTCTCCCCCTACACCTTCCCTCCCTCTCTCCCCCTACACCTTCCCTCCCTCTCTCCCCCTACACCTTCCCTCCCTCTCTCCCCCTACACCCTCTCTCCCTCTCTCCCCTACACCTTCCCTCCCTCTCTCCCCTACACCTTCCCTCCCTCTCTCCCCTACACCTTCCCTCCCTCTCTACCCCTACACCTTCCCTCCCTCTCTACCCCTACACCTTCCCTCCCTCTCTACCCCTACACCTTCCCTCCCTCTCTACCCCTACACCTTCCCTCCCTCTCTACCCCTACACCTTCCCTCCCTCTCTACCCCTACACCTTCCCTCCCTCTCTTCCCCCTACACCTTCCCTCCCTCTCTTCCCCCTACACCTTCCCTCCCTCTCTTCCCCCTACACCTTCCCTCCCTCTCTTCCCCCTACACCTTCCCTCCCTCTCTTCCCCCTACACCTTCCCTCCCTCTCTTCCCCCTACACCTTCCCTCCCTCTCTCCCCCCTACACCTTCCCTCCCTCTACACCTCTCTCCCTCTCTCCCCTACACCTCTCTCCCTCTCTCCCCTACACCTCTCTCCCTCTCTCCCCCTACACCTTCCCTCCCTCTCTACCCCTACACCTTCCCTCCCTCTCTTCCCCCTACACCTTCCCTCCCTCTCTTCCCCCTACACCTTCCCTCCCTCTCTTCCCCCTACTCCTTCCCTCCCTCTCTCCCCCTACACCTTCCCTCCCTCTCTCCCCCTACACCTTCCCTCCCTCTCTCCCCCTACACCTTCCCTCCCTCTCTCCCCCTACACCTTCCCTCCCTCTCTCCCCTACACCTTCCCTCCCTCTCTCCCCTACACCTCTCTCCCCTACACCTCTCTCCCTCTCTCCCCTACACCTTCCCTCCCTCTCTCCCCTACACCTCTCTCCCCTACACCTCTCTCCCTCTCTCCCCTACACCTTCCCTCCCTCTCTCCCCTACACTTCTCTCCCCTACACCCTCCTCCCTCTCTCCCCTACACCTTCCCTCCCTCTCTCCCCTACACCCCTCTCTCCCCTACACCTCTCTCCCTCTCTCCCCTACACCTTCCCTCCCTCTCTCCCCTACACCCTCCCTCTCTCCCCTACACCTCTCTCCCTCTCTCCCCTACACCTTCCCTCCCTCTCTCCCCTACACCTCTCTCCCCTACACCTTCCCTCCCTCTCTCCCCCTCTCTCCCTCTCTCCCCTACACCTTCCCTCCCTCTCTCCCCTACACTTCTCTCCCCTACACCTCTCTCTACACCTTCCCCTCTCCCCTCCCCTACACCTTCCCTCCCTCTCTCCCCTACACCTCCCCTCTCCCTCCCTCTCTCCCCTACACCTTCCCTCCCTCTCTCCCCCTACACCTCCCTCCCTCTCTCCCCTACACGGCCCGCACCCCTCCCTCTCTCCCCTACACCTCCCCCACGGCCCGCACCCCTCCCCTCCCTCTCTCCCCTACACCTGTCCCTCCGTCTCCACCCTCCCTCCCTGGCCCCCTCACAGCCCGCACCCCTCCCTGGCTCCCCCACGGCCCGCACCCAGCACTTGTTGCTGCATATTTTGAAATAATAATTGTATTGTGTGTGGGTTTGGCCGTCAATGTAGTCCTCAGGTTGTTGGGATGTTGTGGTGTGAGAGTTGTTGTCGTGGTTGTAGTTCCCGTGAAGGACCCACAACCTGGAGTGAGTTGTGGGAGTTGTGTTGTACCAGACCGGCCTGGGGGTCACCCTTGTCTTGTGATAACTTGGTTCAAGTTAGGGAGAACCAAGTTATCATGCCTGCGGGGCCATGGGTCGCCCCGCAGGCACATCCACTACAGCCCGCTTGGTCCTACCAGCCCGCTTGGTCCGGACATCTTGTAGGAACCTGACTTGTTTCTTGAACACCTCCATTCTTGTTCCGGCAAATTTTTTTTATGTATGCTGGAAGGATACTAGGAAACCTCACTAGTACCAGCGCCACTCGCACTAGCACCATCACACCAACGCTATTAATATTACCAACGCCACTCGCAGTAGTAACAAAGCTGTCAGTAGTGGTGGTACTAACGCCACTCTCACTAGAACCAACCGTCCAGTACCAATGTAAGTATCAGTAGTTGCACCGCCGCTCTCACTAGTTCCTCCGTCATTACCACTGTTATCAACACCACTAGTGCTTACCTCTCAGTGACAACGGGGGAGTGACATCTAACTCTTGAGTCTAATAGATCATACTTGAGGCGTTAATTATATCACCACTAACATTCATCATATTTGTCTTGAAGATGGAGATGGCTTCAACAACCTCTTCTTCGTGGTATTCCACTGGCCGACCCCAGTACAGGGACCGACACCTTCCTGCCTTCTCACGCCAAGAACCGCACTGGTTGTTATTGTGTGTCGTGCATATATAACGGTACACCGTCCCTGAGCCCATTATGTGCCTCTGTAACCCTTTCCACTACCGCCCACAAGATGGGTATGGGGTGCATAATAAATGGACTAAACTAAAAAAAACACCTCTGCCAGATGTGTACGACGGGCTCACCTTAGCCCGTGCTGCTTGCAACTATTTGTTCCCAGTAGCTAAATCTTAAACAACAATAACATGTCTTGCATAGACTCTGAGGTTGTGACGGTGAGTTCTCAACCTGGCCTCATACCTGAAGCTTCTCAATTCTGGTACTAATCAAGTTGCAAACCTCTGAACTTTCACAGAATGTTTCAAAAGGTGTGGGTTCCATGCTGGTGCTGCACACTCGAGCAGTGCCCTCGTATAGGCAGTATGTTCGGACGTGAAAGCCTCCTTGTTCAGATTCTTAAACGACGTTCTTGTGTTTGGTAACTTCCCACATGCTGCTGATGTTATCCTCTTCATATGAGCTCCTGGTGTCAGCTCTGAACTGTGTATACTCCTAAGTATTCTTCTTTGTCTTTCCTGTAATTCTCCCCCTTGTAATATTGTTAAGTACAGGTCTCCTATCTCCCTTACCTATTTTCACTACTTTGCACTTATTTGAATTGAATTTCAGCAGCCATTTATCAGCCCACTCCTGAAGTTTTTTTTATAGTTAAATTGAATACATTAATAATTTTAATAATAATTTATAATAGTGTCATCAGAGTGTACCAGTGGCGTTGGTACCAGTGTCCCACTAGTACCAACGTCACTATCACTAGTACCAACGCCACTCCCACTAGTACCAACGCCACTCCCATTAGTACCAACGCCACAACGTCACTATCACTAGTACCAACGCCACTCCCACTAGTACAAACGTCACTATCACTAGTACCACCGTCACTCACTAGTACCAACGTTACTATCACTAGTACCAACGCCACTATCACTAGTACCAACGCCACTCCCACTAGTACCAACGCCACTATCACTAGTACCAACGTCACTATCACTAGTACCAACGTCACTATCACTAGTACCAACGCCACTATCACTAATACCAACGTCACTATCACTAGTACCAACGTCACTATCACTAGTACCAACGTCACTATCACTAGTACCAACGCCACTCCCACTAGTACCAACGTCACTATCACTAGTACCAACGCCACTATCACTAGTACCAACGCCACTATCACTAGTACCAACGTCACTATCACTAGTACCAACCACTATCACGTACCAACACTATCACTAGTACCAAACTATCACTAGTACCAACGTTACTATCACTAGTACCAACGTATCACTAGTACCAACGTCACTATCACTAGTACCAACGCCACTATCACTAGTACCAACGTCACTATCACTAGTACCAACGCCACTATCACTGTTACCAGTGCAACTAACACGAATACCAATCACACTATCACTAGTATCAACGACACTCCCGTTAGCACTAACGACACACTGGTACTCAGCGGCAGTCTCACTTGTACCAACGGCACAATTACTAGTTGATACCAACTAGTAACAACGGTATTATCAATAACATCACTGATATTTGCCATAATATGAAGGTAATATATGCAGCCAGAAAAATTGGTGGTCTGCTATGGTGTAAGGTTGTGTTGGGGAGGTGTGGGCGGCTTGTCTTACCTCGGTGGGCGGTGTGTGTGTGTGGGCGGGGGCTGGCTACTTCGCTGCTGCTGCTGCTGCTCCTGCAGGAGCCTCACACTACTCCAGCGGGGAGGCCCAGGGAGAGCTGCACGCCCCGAGGATGGTTGTCAAGTGGAGACGCTGGTGGCTTGACCTGGCTTCACCGTCCTGACGCTCGCTCTGATATTCCTGTGTTCTGATTGTTTGATGGGAGGTGACGCTGGTCTGGTGTGGGTGTTGGCTGTGGCTGTGGTGGTGGTGGTGGTAGGTGGAGCGTGTCTGTAGGGGGTGAGGGCTGCGACCACCACTCTAGCACCGACCACAAGATCCTCTAGGGTGGGCCACACTATAAGCAACACTAGGAGCACTGGATCCTACAGTCTGGACAGCTTTGAACGACACTGGATCCTACCTAGGCTGGTATCACGCATCCTACCCCGGTCTGTTATCATTATCACTGTCCGCATCCGCTCTTGCACTTGGCACCGTCTAACACTTGTCCTCTCTCAACGTTCTACACAAAAGCAAGATAACTAAACAGTATGCATCCCATACTCCAGACTATCGAGGTGGTGGACAGGTCGCAGACCTTCTTGAGACGCTCGAGAACCAAGCCCCGAGTTACAGTGTTGATCAGTTTATGTTGGATGCCTAAACTGTTTAGGCATAGTTTTTTATACATGAGCAGTTTTAGTTAGTATATCTGGTTTGGTTATGAGAGTCATATACACGCTTGTCCTACACCAGCTACTGCCATACACACGCTTGTCCTACACCAGCTACTGCCATACACACACTTGTCCTACACCCAACACCAGCTACTGCCATACACACACTTGTCCTACACCCAACACCAGCTACTGCCATACACACACTTGTCCTACACCAGCTACTGCCATACACACACTTGTCCTACACCCAACACCAGCTACTGCAATACACACACTTGTCCTACACCCAACACCAGCTACTGCCATACACACACTTGTCCTACACCCTACACCAGCTACTGCCATACACACACTTGTCCTACACCCAACACCAGCTACTGCCATACACACACTTGTCCTACACCCAACACCAGCTACTGCCATACACACACTTGTCCTACACCAGCTACTGCCATACACACACTTGTCCTACACCCAACACCAGCTACTGCAATACACACACTTGTCCTACACCCAACACCAGCTACTGCCATACACACGCTTGTCCTACACCAGCCACTGCCATACACACACTTGTCCTACACCCAACACCAGCTACTGCCATACACACACTTGTCATACACCCTACACCAGCTACTGCCATACACACACTTGTCCTACACCCTACACCAGCTACTGCCATACACACACTTGTCCTACACCCAACACCAGCTACTGCCATACACACACTTGTCCTACACCAGCTACTGCCATACACACACTTGTCCTACACCCAACACCAGCTACTGCCATACACACACTTGTCCTACACCCAACACCAGCTACTGCCATACACACACT